ACATTCAAAAAGGAGCTGGGGAGAGTACATGTCCAACATGTAGCCTTTAGAGGGAAATGTAAAAGCAATAAGTTCAGAGAACTCTGGATGCCTAGGACAATTCAGAACTGGATGAGGAAGCAGAGAAAGGCTTTTGGCAAGTCCAAAGGGAGCAATTCAGCTGCGGCCCTGAAGGAATATAGGAAGTGCAAGAGAGATCTTAAGAAAACAATCAGAAAAGCAAAAAGGGGGCAGAAAAATGGACTGGCAAACAGAATTATGGAGAATCCTAAAATAATTGAAATATATATCAAAGGGAAGAGGTTAACCAGGAAAGAGTTGGGCCCATTCGGGACCAAGAGGGCAACCTGTGTGTGAAGCTCCAGGATATTGGAAGCGTGTTAAATGAATACTTCTTTTCGGTCATCACTCTGGAAAAGGAGAACATAGGGACAAAATTCTGGAATGGGGACTGTGAGGAACTCACACAGTTTTACATAAGAAATGGGAAGGTATTGGAGGCTCCGTTAGGTTTAGAAAAGGACAGATGCCCTGGCCCAGATGAATTGCATCCCAGGATACTGTGGAAGGTGAGGCAGGAAATTGCAGGGGGCTCTGACTTTTAATTTTTAGTTCCTCTCTGTCCAGAGGGGGCATGCCAGAGACCTAGAGGACAGCTAATGGGGTACCACTTTTCAAGAAGGATGCTAGAAATGAATCAGGAAATTAAAGACTGGTAAGTCTTATGCCAGCTGGAGGGAAACTAGTGGAGAAAATTCTATAGGAGTGACTTAATACCCACTTGGAAAGGCATGAGTTAGTTAAGGATAGTCAGCATGGCTTTGTCAGAGGGAGGACATGACTAACAAATTTGTTAGAATTTTTCAAAAATGTGATTAAGTCTGCGGATGACGGAAGTTCAGTTGATGCAGTTGATATGAATTTTAGCAAAGCTTTTGACAAGGTCCCATATGGGATACTGATTGAGAAAATTGAACTACATGAAATTGAGGGAAACATGGTGAGATGGATCAGAAAGTGGCTTAGTAATAGGTCACAAAGAGTAGTGGTAGAAGGCTGTTCAAGTGACTGGAGACCAGTGTTCAGCTGTGTACCACAGAATCAGTACTGGGGCCCTTATTGTTTGTTATATACATAAATGATATAGATGAAAATGTGGCGGGAATATTAAGCAAATTTGCAGACAACATCAAGATTGGTGGAGTAGTTAATGCTGAAGAAGATTTTGTAGATTACAGGAAGATATAGATGGGTTGGTTTGATGGGCAGACCAGCGGCAGATGGTATTTAACCCTGATAAGTGTCTGATGATGCATTTTGGAAGGAGAAATAGGATGAGGGATCTTGGGGTAATTATTCACAGAGCCATGAAATTGGCAGAGCATCTGAATTAGGATAGTTAAGGAGGCATATGGGACTCTTGCTTTCATCAATTTTGGCATAGAGTATAAGAGCAAGGAGGCAATGTTGGAGTTGTACAGATCATTGGTCAGGCCACAGCTGGAGTACTGTGTGCAGTTCTGGTCACCTCACTACAGGAAGGATGTGATAGCACTAGAGGGGGTACAGAGGAGATTCATCAGGATGTTGCCTGGGTTGGAGAAATTGAGCTATAACGAGAGACTAGATGGGCTTGGATTATTTTCTTTAGAGCAGCGAAAACTGAGGGGGTGGGTGGGTGGAACATGATTGAAGTGTACAAGATTATGAAGGGTATGGACAGAGTGAATAGAGAGCAATTATTCCCCTTGATTGAGGGGTCAATCATGAGAGGGCATAGTTTTAAGGTAAGGGGCAGGGGATTCAGATGGGATTTGGAAGAAAACCTTTTCACTCAGCAGGTGGTGGGAATTTGGAATGCATTGCCCGGGAAGGTAGTGGTGGCCAGAAACCTTACAACCTTTAAAAAAAATTTGGATTAGCACTTGAGATATCAGAACATTCAGGATTATGGGACAAGTGCAGGAAACTGGGAATAGCACTCCATGTGTTGTAGTTATGATGGTGCAGACTGGATGGGCTGAAGATACTTTTCTGTGCTGTATGAATCTGTGAATTTTCAGTCAGAGGGTGGTGAATCCGTGGAATTCATTGCCACAGAAGTATGTGGAGACAAATTCATTGGCTGTTTCTGGACAGATATAGGTAGGTTCTTGATTAGTAAATGGATCAAACGTTATGGGCAGAATTCAAGAGAATGGGATTGAGAAACATATCAACCATGATCGAATGGTGGAGCAGACGCAATGGACAAATGGCCTAATTCTGGTGCTATATCCTATTGTCTTACCACTCCATTATCTCTACATCCCTGCCCCATTTCAGTTTTCACTCAGATGCACTGTGATAAGTTTTTGATTTGGTAAGTCAAGGATAATGTTCTGTGATAGTAGGAACTGCAGATGCTGGAGAATCCGAGACAACAAGGTGCAGGGCTGGATGAACACAGCAGGCCAAGCAGCATCATAGGAGCAGAAAGGCTGACGTTTCGGGCCTAGACCCTTCATCAGAAAAGGGGGAGGGGAAGGGGGTTCTGAAATAAATAGGGAGAGAGTGGGAGGCGGATAGAAGATGGATAGAGGAGTGGATAGGTGGAGAGGAAACAAGCAGGTCGAAGAGGCGGGGATGGAGCCAGTAAAGGTGAGTGTAGGTGGGGAGTTAGGGAGGGGATAGGTCAGTCCAGGGAGGACAGACAGGTCAAGGGGGCGGGATGAGGTTAGTAGGTAGGAGATGGGGGTGCGGCTTGAGGTGGGAGGAGGGGATAGGTGGGAGGAAGAAC